TAAAACAGTCTTTCACTAAGCAGAAAAGGAAATCAAAGCCCAATTCCACCTGGCATTTGACTTCTTTCTTTTGTGTGCCTGTTCTGTGAAGCAGAACGCTCTTGCTGTCCTTGGTCAGCATTCGCGTTTCCAGAGCATCTCCCATGAACGGCTCCTGCCTTTGCACAGTTGCAGCCCGATGGCCATCCCTGCCGAGCAGCACAACAGTTGTCCCCAACGGGCAGGACGCTGACTTACTGCTCTCGAGGCTCAGGCAGAGCCCGAGGAAATAGGCAGTACTTGGCCTGGGCTGCATCCACCGGGGCGGGGCTGGCTTACATCTCTGGGAGCCTGAAAATGGGACTTCTGGGAAAACAGGGCAGAAACACCAACCTTTCAGCCAAGCTAGTTAGCTTAGTGCCAGCACTTCTGGAAGTAATCACAGAGCTAACCACACGCCCAGGACCCGCCACGCTGTGCAACCCTTCTTTCTGCAAGATGAGGGGTTGTAGATACTGGGACAAGAAACAGGACTTGAGGAATGACATATAGCACATCGCTGGTTTTCCTACGCAAAGCCTGGTTACAAGAAGATTGGGAACCAGTGCAGTAAAAAGCAGCAGGCGTAACGGACACGTATGCAAGAAAGCCTCAGATAACTGATACCAAACCAAAGAACGACTGCTACAACAATCACAAGTGTTTCAAAAGGCTCGTGTATGAAGAAGGCCAGCACCATCCTGGCCTGTATCAGAAATAGTGTGGCCAGCAGGAGTAGGGAAGTGATCGTGCCCCTGGACTCGGCACTGGTGAGGCCGCACCTTGAATACTGTGGAGTGTATCCAAAGCAGCACAACGAAGCTGGTGAGGGGTCTGGAGAACAAGTCTATGAGGAGCGGCTGAGGGAACTGGGGTCTGTTGTACAGAGCTGTTAACAGCTCTTGAGCAATTAGATACTACTGTCTTCAGAACTTGCATTTGGTCTAGGTAGTATAACATTCTAGGTAGCACCTCGAATACTGTGTTCAGTTTTGGGCCCCTCACTACAAGAAGGACATTGAGGTGCTGGAGTGTGTCCAGAGAAGGGCAGCAAAGCTGGTGAAGTGTCTAGAGCACAAGGCTTATGAGGAGCGGCTGAGGGAACTGTAGTCATTTAGCCTGGAGAAAAGGAGGCTGAGGGGAGACCTTATCACTCTCTACAATTACCTGAAAGGAGGCTGCAGCTAGGTGGGTGTTGGTCTCTCCTCCCAAGTAACAAGCGATATGATGAGAGGAAATGGCCTCAAGTTGCACCAGGGGAGGTTTAGACTGGATATTAGGAAAACTTCCTTCACCAAAAGGCTTGTCAAGCTTTGGAACAGGCTGCCCAGGGAAGTGGTGGAGTCACCATCCCTGGAGGTATTTAAAGGATGTGTAAATGTGGTGCTTAGGGACATGGTTTAGTGGTGGACTTGGCAGTGCTGGGTTAACGGTTGGACTTGATTTAAAGGTCTTTTCCAACCTAAATGATTCTATGATTCTAAGAGTGGACCAGAGCAATAATTAACTGGGAGAGTGCCATAACAAAAACCAAGTGCCATAAGCAGAAATAATTTTAAGTGAATGACATAAACACTGAGTGTTATTATCCATACAGATACCAGGAATTTACATTACTTCTAGATCATTAAAACCTGAATATTACATGCATTATGCCTATATTGCAGTCCTTTGCAGCACAATACAAAACATATTAATAGTTTCCATTCCCTGCGCTGTCTTCATGCAAAGCGGGGAGGAAAAGGAAAGATATTTTATTCAAGAAAAAAAAACCAAACCTGAACACCGCATGTAAAAGAAAACAGCTTACAAGACATAAGGTATGATCTGAGAGACTGGAGACATCTGGTCCTGTACAATCCCTGAGATCTGAGAATACATTTGCTGTCAAATTCACATTCCAGGCAAAGGATACGAAATTAAATGTTCTGCCAAAATCCTCATGGACTCAAGTAAGTGATGAGGTATATGAAATTTGCTACAAGGTAAGCTTCCAACACTGGTAGTCTAAGCAATCTGAGTGGCACCAAGATTATCAAATCTCACTATCTGTTTTAAAAACTTTTGAATATGTCTGGAATTGTTGGCTTTCATGATGTTATCTTTACATCTTGCATTTAAAGCAGTCATTTATGCAAGACTTTTAAAGTACATTAAACCTTACTTAGCTAAATTGGTGAAGAAGAAAAGCTGGCAGATAGGCTATCACCCAGCTCAGCAAAGTGCATTTTTTCTCCAATTCTTACAGTATACAAACTGATCAATCTTTCCAGTACTGAAGTTACTAATGAATATATTTTCTTCCAGTTGCTGAGTTTTTGGTCATCTTTCTTTACTCCACAGATATGCTCCCCCCCCCCCCCCCAATTATGCAGGTTTTCATTACTGGCCTAGCCAATTTTACATCGTAGATAACAGTCTCCTCGTTACTTCATCATTTAAAACATAACTCCTCAAAGCATCAAATAAGAAACTGTGCCATAAGTCTGCATGTGGGTAACAAATCTATAAATATTCATTCATCACACGTACTCACACCCCCACACACCTAGTTTTTGGTCATAGCACACCTCAACTCTGCAAAACTATTTAATATCGATCCTAGTGTAACCTCTGTTCAGCTTCAGCCCTGCACGTTTTCATCCAAGCCACTTCCTGCAGCCTGGATTTTCTGCTCCTCACCTTGTATTCATTTAGGGCTGAGATATTACAAGGAGAGCCTCAGGGACAGACCCTGAAACCACAAGTTTCTCTCTCCAGCACTCAATTCTCTCCCACTGTTTGCCTGTACATGTCTCCCATTCCCTCCCTTCTCACACCATGAGGGTAATTGGTTATGGCTCCCTTTGGTTCTTCATCAGCCTAAACACTCAGAAATTCTTATCCATGATGGCTCCTATGGCCACTTCCCCAAGATCCTCTGAAGAAAACTGCAGCAAATCACCACAGTACTACTAAGCGCAAAGCAAGTCTCACCTCCTGCGCAGAGACATCACCTAGCACCCCTTCCCTGTTCCCAGAGACCACTCGTCACAAACAGCAGCAGAAGCGTGAAGTGAACCACCAAGTCTGCTGAACAATCGCCTCCTTTTCCTCTCCCCATAAAAAACACGGTGAACAGCTTGCAGCCATTTCAGCAACTGGTAAAAGCTGCTGGTCTGCTCCAAAGGGCAGCAGATTTCTCTCTCACCTCTTCCAAGGTGCCACCTGCAACTCAGAAATAAGCAAGGTGTCTGTACCACACGATCTCTTCCACTAGTCTCCTCTCCCCTTTCCCACAGATAGCTAGTATGACAGGGAAATACTGTAGAGGCAGACAGAATTTGTACAACACTTTATTACACTGCTGAAGACTGGGAATCAGCTCTGGCAACAGCCTCTCTTCTGTTACTCGGGGTGAGGAAGTCAATAGTACCATGTTATTACAAGGTCATTGTCCACAGCAGGAAGCACACTAAGTCTCTCGATACTGTCATGTGCAACTTTGTCCGGTTACAAGGGCAATTCAAGCTGCAAAGTGTTAACGCTGTTACACCCTCCAGTTGCTGGTACATTTGCAAGTCCTGTTATTTTCCAACGGCAAAGAGCAGACTCTGAACTTTTGAGAGTGGTAACTGCAGTCAGACTAAGATGTGAGGTGAAAGGCAGTAGCACAGATATTCACAGCAGACTAACATATAATTACAGCAAAGCATGGAAGGCTCTATTTGGCACAAAAGTGGAAAGTCAGAGCTTATATTTTGAGAACAGAACATGCTTATGTGATTGTAAAGAAATCAGCACTTGCAGCAAGAAGCAAGACAAGTATTCATAACCTTCTGCGGGAGAGAAAGGGAATCGGTAAAAGCCACATCTGCAATGGTATATTTTATATTTCAGTGTTAACAGAAACAAACATTTTGATTTAAACTCCCTTTTAGAACAAACCTGATGACATTATACCTTACACAGTGTCATCTAAGGATCTAACTTTACTACACTTTTACATACATGATACAGCAGACCCATATCAGTCCTCCTGAATTCCCATGAAAGTGCTTGCACAACTGCATAGTGAAGTCAGAAGAATCATGCAATATAAAGCTAGAAGTACAGCCAAATTGACCCTTTCATTGTATTTGGAAATATTGATTTCCAAAATAAAGCACTTTCAGGGTAACTAGAAAACATATTTTTTTCCAAACCTGCAGCCTAGAAGTGGTGAAAGACATTTTAGAATGAGGTAAACATACTGCATAGGCTATATATTTAAATCCAAATTCCAAGAGTGATTTGGCTTGTGAAATTACTTAAAACTGCACAGAAAGAAAAAAACTATATACTTATAAAAATTTGAAAACAAATCCAGGTTGACCCTAACAGCAAATTAGAAAATAACTCATTTACAAAGGGCACTTCCTACTGCCTTTTTTTTTTTCTTCAAGTTAGCCAGACAAAAGCATGATTTGAAAAGAGCTTTGCTGCTTTTTCTGTGGAGCTGTTCCTTCTACAACACCTGCACAACCTCACCTTGTCTCCTTCAGTTAATCTGAGCCAACACTGGTGCTGGACACGCAATGCCACAACACTCCAGTAAATACTGGCCTCCCAGCCCATGCTGCAGCTTTTCTTGCCCCAGCCTGCATTCTGGAGCAATGACAAAGCTTTATGACACAGGGTGTTCAGCATAGAGACTGGTGTTTAACAGAGAGTGTCAGAGACCTCAATTATTTTAAACCATTTGAAAACTAAGTTATAATTAACAATAGTGCCTTTTTTGACTGTCATATTTTTATTTAAAATGTGTCCTTGCAGGTTCACTTTTTTTAATATTCCCTTGTATAAATGTTTAGTTGCCGGAAATCATTCCTGTCAGGCAACACAGTTTTCTGAAAAGATAGTATCTTCCATCCTCACCACATTTTCAATAAACACTGTAGAAGACAGTCAACAATCAGACTAAGATAAAGTGCATATATTCCTTTCTGATGCAGGCAACAAAGTTGTGGACCAAAAAAATAAATCATACTGAAAATTGAAAACCACACAGAAAAAAGTCCTACAGTGGCCATTTAGCATCCCACTATTAGGTTGTCCCACTGAGCACTACCCAAGAAATACTTTTCTTCAAGTGTCTGTTAGCTTAAAAAAAAAAAAAACAGACAAACAAACAAAAAAGGAACTTATAACATTAAAAATAATGGTTCCGGTTTAATTAGACTCTGAGAATCATGAATTTATGTAATCCTTGAAAGCTACAGCTCCCCCAGGGCTGGCATACTGCCTTGACAACCTGTAAGTAGTTTGTATTTTACCCTTTGGATCCAGGCTTCAAGCTTGCAAAAGCTTTGGAGTTCTTAAGGGAATGTGAAATTTCATTGAGAAAAGAAATAAAATGATAGTCCCTTTCCGACTTCTTGGACTCAAAAATAACTACAATGGTAAAATGAGGTTCGGGACGAGTCAGAAAGTACGTGCTTTGGACTTTGTCATCATAGAAGTGAACAACCTTCTCCAAACTGTTGAGGTCAGAGGTTCTATCAGTCATAATCATGATCACATTGGGCCAGTGCATAACAGGCCTATCGCTGGGCAGAGACACCACTGCAGGGTACTGATCCACTCCTTTGGGCGCTTCCCTGTAAGAATGGGGATGATGATAACCATGTCCCTGAAAACTCTCTGATCCACGATTGTCAAAAATTAAGGAAACATTGACAGCATCATACTTCCGGATGAAGCTGGAAATTTTTCCAAAGTAATCAGGATTTGTTTTAGCAGTCAAAGTTTTCATTTCAGATGCTGTTGTTTGTCGACTAAGGGCCTCATGAAAGTAAAAGCTAAACTTGGCAAGGAGAATGTTTTTGAGCTTCATCAGCCAGAGGAAGAGGTGCGGAGGTTGTACAGCCTTCTGAGACTGCCCTCCAAACAGATGTTTCTTGGTCTCTCGCTGCTTCTCAAAAATTTGGCCCCAAGTCTGTAGTTTGGTGTGAGCGCTGTGCAAGTTGACCAGGGATGGAAGGAACTTCCACTCTGAGATCTGAGCCTGAGCCTTTAAGAGATGTGCAAGCACATCTACTTCCAGCTGGAAACTGCTTTCAAGAGGACTGAGGATTGGATGATGAAATCTAGAAAACATAACATTAGTTAAGACATGAGAACGGCTGTATACAACAGTGAAATAATCAGACAGTATTTTTCAATTCACAGACAGAAGACCAAACATTGGAGTATAGTGTAAACCAAAAAATAATCTTGTTAATTTAAAAAAGTTATTTTAAAATAATTTTGGCAAATATTTTAATGAACATACACCACTTCACATTTGACAAAAACACCTGCCAGACATTTCTCTATCAAAGCAAGGGAGTTATATTTGATCAGTTCAAGAACAATCACTGTTCATCTTGACTCATAAACTACTATAGCACAATTTCTCTTTAAGATCAGGTCGTTTTGTTCTAGTTTAAAATCCCTTCTGGTGGTAAAATATGTCTTGATAGTTACGGAATGGCAGTAAGACATTAAGTTAAATCAAAGGAATTACCTTACAAACTTGTTGTTTGTACAGGAAAGCTATGAGGAAGCCGAGCTGAGCTTTTTTTTTTTTTTTTAAATTCACAATAAAATTGTGATGGAAGATTAGTCAATAGAATCATGATTAACTGTATTTACCAATGAACCAGGTCTCAAACTTCAAACCTTGGTGTACTAAAAGTGATGAAAGGGAAAAGCAGTCGGCAAGATTTCATCATAGCACAATGAAGATGCTGTAACAACCAATTTCTCTCACTAAAAATTCAGGTCAAGATCAGCTCTCAATTTAACAGATGGTTAAAAAAACACCACCTCCTCTACCAGGTCAAAGTGCCACTGCACATCTTATTCATAAGAGTGATTCTACTATTACAACAAATATCGATGAAATGGAATTTTATAGATCCATTCTATAGCTTTCTCTTCTCACTTGATTTTTAATAAACATCGGGGAAAAAAAGACAGATCCAGCCTGCCTCCTTTCCCTTGATACTCAAATTACTTGTAAATTTACAACATCATTGATAAATACATACTTAATTCAAACTGCACAAAACTGTTCCTGTTACAGAAACTAAATACTTAACTTTAGAAAGAATGAGTCTTCAGAAAAGAGGAAGTGGCCTTTTTAGTAAATGTGTTCCCTAATAGGCATTTAGGACTCTTAGAGAGGTCTCCAACAAAGAACAACCAATAGTTCAAAGACAAGACTTCATGAGGTTTCCATTTAAGTAAGACAGATTTATCCCCTCACTTCAGAAAAAATGTCCTGGGTCTTGTTATTGCTTTAAAACAAAGAAGTTTATAATGAATTCTTCCAATCTTTAACAGGTCATCTTCAGACAAGGTGAAAATGACTCCATTATTCCCCTCAGCTTCCAGGACACAATACATATAATCAATTTTGGAAATACTTGGTTCAAAACCAAAACACTTAATTTTGTTGTGGACCAGAAGAATGAGAGAGAATTTTAGGCTTTTCATCCCCTCTTTCTTCATTATTTTTGCTTTGACTTTCCATCAAGCTCTTGCCGAAACATTAATTCTTAGGCTTGTGAAAATTGTCTGACAATTTTATCACTGTTAAGCAACACTTTTTTTTTTTGACAGCCACAATACATGTCTTGAAAGGATTTCCTATTAAGATGCAAGTCTAAATTTATTTGAAGAAAATTAAATTATAAATATCATAAATCAGTTGAGGCACCACGTTCTGCAAACAGGCTAGGTTGGGTGACCAGCCACCTCCTGTACACAGTACATGTCAGCAACCATCAACCCTGCTGTAGCAGGGATACAGCGATTACTGGCTACTTTGGTGGGCTGAGAAGTCCAGAGCACATTTACATTACTTTGAACAAACAAGAGTTAATTAAAAGTTATATTCTGCTAACAGTCAGCATTATATAATTCCAATGGTTTTGGTATTCAGCAGAAAATGTTTTGTTGCCATGTATTAGAAGGCGGCGGGGGTGGGGGGGGAGATGCATTATACAACATTATTTGTTCCAGATAGTCCCATCAAGCGCACACTTAGCACAGTGGTTTCAACACATCTGCAGTCAGACCAAGACGGTTATTCTTCAATTTTTAAAGTAATTTAAAAATTCATACTAATGCAGCACTGCCAAGTCTCCTGGATTAACACCATGATGTACGGCTTCCCACTTCTACTTTGCTTCATGGCTCATAGCTATTGCCATGTTTCACTGCACAGCAGGATTTGCTAAACTGTTTTAATCCAAAAATACACATCTCAGCTGAGAAGCTTGATACAGTTGCAGAGTAAACTAACAGGTTATATACTCAGTATATCTGCTGTAATTAAGTTTCATAACACAGAAATATCTGACTGAGCTCAGTATCACATAAAAGTCAGGTTTTTACAGTATTTCAATAAGTTAGGAAGTTAAGAACTTAAAAACACATTGGAAAATTGATTTTTTCCCCCAATCATTCTCAAAAGCAGAGGGATGATAGAGTTTTGTTTTCCAGACTAGGAAGAAGCCTCATTTTTCTACAACTTTTTATTTCCTTCCGTACATCACACATACATACATGTATTTACAAAATGCTTACTAGATGAAAAACATTTAACATGTAAAAATAATTACATCAAAATAAGTTTACTAGTTACTTATTCACTTTATACTAAGCTTTTAAAGGATCCTGCTTCTGATGCTGTTTTAATTATCTCAGTTAAGATCCCATTCAAACCAACAGTTAAAAAATTCAGAAGTTACTTCTCCATCTGTATTCTATAGAAAAGCAGACACAAAAATGTCTCGTGTTGGCTGTGTACAAGTCAGCAATAAGTAGTAACAAAATAGCTTTAACTGTTCAAGAGTTAATGATTTTTCAGATACAACAATATGACTTGATTTTTTGACAGGCAATTAATTCTGTCATTCCTTTAGCAGCAAACAGTTAATTGCTCTATGTTATATGAACAGCTACTTTTAGATGCAAAGGAAAGAAACCAAGGCCAGAATTTATCTACAGAACAGATGCCCTGTCTGGCCTTCGCACAGTTGGCTGAGAAAATGGCACACATCCTCAACTACAAGTGAGGAATATATTGACAGAGGGAAGAGACTAAGGATGAGTTTATTTGACCTTTCACCTGAGAGGGTCAAGAGACTCTAAAACAGAAATGCCTTCCAGCCAGCACACATCAGCATAACAGCCCCCAGAAAGTGATCTGAGATATGAAGAAACTAAAGGAAGGACTAAAGGAAGAGATTACCCCCACTTTTTTCAGAAACATCCTGTACGTGACTGGGGAGGACCACACGGCAGCCACTGAATTAGCTCTAACAGTCTTAGAATGTCTCCATCTTAGAGATTGCTCATTAACCCAAAGCAAGATCATCAGTTTTTTCCCAGGGAGACATGGCTTATTTTTTTAGAGGTTATAATAATGCCTTAGAAGTACAGATGTGTCACTCAAATGTATTTAAATAGCACAATAAAACATTTTATATGTAACAGTCTCCAGTCACTTCATCAAAGTATCAGGTTTGGTTTTCATAATTTTAACAGTGCTGTTGACTCAGCACATGCTCAGAACATAATGGCAATGGTTAGTATACAACAAAAAAACAACTTTTCAAAAAAAACTTACCTCACTTTACTCTTTAATGTTTATTGCATCAAGGAAAAAACATGTAAGTTCATTTTTTATTGGACTAATAGCCCTGATATTATAAGGGTTCACAAACCAAGAACTGCAAAAAAGTCACTAGTAAGATTATATAGACAAATTTTGATTTTAAAATAGCAAAATTACATAGTAATTTGCCTAAGTTATTCCCCCAAAAAATAAGGGAGTCAGCTGCAGCGTTTTGATTTGGAATGTCAGAAAGCAGCACTGAATTATTTTGATTTGTCATACATGTACACTTTAACAATTGTACCTGAAGAAAAAAGACCTCAGAATATTCTCCTCAAATGTTATCTTAGACACTATTTCACTAACAAAGATTTTTTAAAAATTCAACTACATTTGAAAATCAGCTTCCTACAATGGCTACCTTGTTTTGCTTTAAAATAAAAAGAGCTAGAATTTGAGTCTGTCAACAAGCATTCAGAAATTCTCTTTTTTACTGCCATCACTTTCAAGTCTCACATGTGTTAGATGTGAAATACCCACCCCAGAGTCATTTACAAACATCCTGGGACTCTTGTAACAGGAACTACTAGATCTTAACTTCAAGAAGCCATAATGGCAGGGACCAAAGACTCAGAGGTGCTCCTACTCGCTCCAGTACCTCTCAAGAGAAGCAGTAAGAGCACCATGAAATCCTACTAGGTAGACCAGGTAGCTATAGTATAGCTTTTAGAATTAAGCAGACCTATACTCTAGTCTAAAAATAAAATGGTCACACAAGTATCTGTTTGCTTTATATATCAATTTTACTGAAGTCCATATGGAATTAAGTCATTTACTCTCCACTCCCAATGAAAAAGTTCAAGAAACCTTACATCTTTCATAAGGAAAATGACAACTCCTCTTTGCTGAATATGAACACACTGATTATTAATTAAGGAATAGAGGGGATGGCTCCTAGAACATGATGAGCAGAAACACTCTCCCTTTTTTATTTTTCTTCTTCAGAGGAGTCGTATTTTGAGACTTCATGCATCTGATGTTGCTGACCAACATTCACATCATGCATAAATTCACGCAAGGGGCTGTGCTGCTCAGCAAAGGACAGCAAAGTCTTTAGGCTTGCTTTGAACCTCAACATCATTTATTATGTCTGAGTACTTACTGCCAGCAAATAAGCACTGACCTTGAGCTGTATTTCTTTAAGATGGATTCCAAAATGTTTACCAGTTCCTCAGAGTTAATGAACTTTTGGGTGCTGAGCGTGTACATTTTTTCATAGAAGTCAGCAATTTCCATCCGAGCCTGAACAAAAAAACAGAGCTGTTCAGACAGGTGAGAAAGCAGCTCTTCCAAGTGAGGAGCTGTTCCTCCTAGTGCATTGCGACCCGTCGCCACCACCTTCTTCAGCTCATTATGCAGAGATGTGTAGATGGTTCGGATGGAGTCCTTTCGGCTGAAGAATGACTGACCACCTGTTCAGATAAATATGGAGGTATTACCAAAATCCAGGGACAGCAAAGATAGACAGCAATACTGGAAAATTTTATATAATCACACTTGTTTTTCCCTAGGTGTTCCTAAGTGTTGTTTGATCACAGTATTTTTTAAAAATCAAGAAACAAAATTCAGTGTATTGTTTTGCAAGTAACTGAATTACACATAGAATATCCTCAGAAGCGCTTCATGTAATTTCATGCAAGATACACATGTCCTTATTCATATTTCAGCAGCCAATGACAGCTGCAAAACTTCTTCAACTCCCTTACATCCGCCTTAGTTATGGTGTGACCCTTCAGAAGAGAGTTCAGTTAAAAGTTAACTGTTATCTGTGGAAGTCAGAAGAATAAAGTCATCATGAAACTTTAGTAGTCTCCACTGCTGTTAATAACTCTAGATCTTTTCAAGATAATTCCCTAACAACACCTCTTCAAACACAAAGCACTCAAATTTGCAAAGCAACCTTTGAATGGGAACCACGTGACATCTGTGTGTACAAATCAAATGTTTCAAGTCCCTACACAATCTTAATATAAACCAGAATTCAAAGGGAAAACAATCATAGCTTATCTCAGTGAGACCACAGTGCAGGTTAATCCTTAAAAAAAACGGAGTGGGGTGGGAAGCAGTCAGTGCTTCTCTCTACCTGCTCAATACTATGAAGAATTTAAAAGAAAAAAAGACCAAAGTAGAGGGTCAAAGTAAAAGATATTTACCTTTCATGCTACCAAAAGACTGTACAAAGGTACTACCCTTATTTCATAATTCCTATTTACAGACGGCCTTATGTGCCACTGTGGCACTCCAGAGCTGCAGTGAAGCAAGGATCACAAGGACTGAATCTGCAGAACTTTTAAAGAGATTTCAAATTTAGGTGCCACTTTGAAATTGCTTATACATTTTGTAATCGTGGATAGTCCTTTTCACATCCATTTTACACATATAAAGTTCAAAAGCTACTTTAGCAATTTGGGGCAGAAAAGCAGAGAATCGGTTATCACAGAGAAACAGCTACCTTCCTAAACCAAGAGCTGCCCCCAGGTCATGGGCAAGGTGAAGAATCATCTATTGTGGTTGTTCATGAAGTATATAAACAAACAAAACTTTGTCCCTTCTGCTGTCAATTCTGTCCTTCCTACAAGCAACAAATTCACTTTTTAAAGTTAGCCTTACAGATAGAGTTTTGTCTGTCAAGATTTTTTTATAAAATAGTCCAAGTCACCACTTAAACAGCAAAGCAGAATTTTCTTGATGCTTTACTGCATTACACATCAGACTCATAGCCCTTGACCCATTTTCCATGCCAGTCTGCAGTTCAAAGAGAAAATAAGCAGCTTTGCCCAGAGGGCAATATGATGACAGCTTGTCCGGTGCCAGTTTGGAAATTTTCTATTCATGTACTGAGAGAGAGAGAGAGAGAGAGAGAAGCAGCCAAGATTGTGGCCAAAACTTCCCAAGATCCTGCAGCATCTACATGAATAACAGTTTTTAGGAGGCTATCTCCATCCCTGAGTATTTACACATGTACTTACACATAAGCAACTCTAATATTAGGCCCTGGAACTGTGACATGAAGAAGCTTTAACCCTTGGGTTACCTCAATGAGCTCACCTTTGCCAGAATCTCAGTCAGAGCATGCCGGCACAAAAACACCTCTGGCTAAACGTTGGGAATGGCAGGCAGGTAGCCTACCAACCAATAAAGAGATGTCTCTATTTGCAGAGCTGCTGTGCCACCTGCATGGCACCTGCACTCTTATTTATTCTTTAGGGGTCACCCAAATGGTACAGCCAATTTCTCACTGGGCCCACGGACACTCGCTTGACCCAGCACCTGTGTTTCACACGCAGAGACACGCACCTCACCGAGGCCAGGGTCCTCGGCTACCTAGCACTATGCAACTACCGGCTGACAGATTACATCATAGTGCTACGGCGGCCGCCCGTTCCCTACCCACCCTGCGACACCCGCGGAGCTAAATCCGGGGCAGGCCGTGGGGCAGGCTCGGGCGCGCCGCGCTGCCCTGCTCCCCCAGCAGTGACCATGGGGGGGCCCGGAGAAAGACGGGGGAGCGGGGACCCGAGGGACGGGGGAGCGGAGAAGGATCCCTCCCCGCGGGGCGCGAGGGGCAGCGGCCGGGCGGTACCTAGCTTCTGGCCCAGGAAGGTCATGCTGTGGTAGGCCTTCTCGGCGGCGGCCAGGTGCGCCAGCCCGGCCAGCAGGGCCAGCCAACTGGCCCCCGCGCTCTTGTTGGCCTCCCGCTCCTTCTCCACATTGT